GGCATCCTCGAGGCAGCCTGTCGATGTTGGGAAAACCGCAGGCGCAGCTGGCGAGGGTCCCTCCACCACGTCTCAGCGGGAAACCTGCGCCACCGACTTTGCACCTCCTCCGTGGAGGGGGACAACGTGCGTGGGGAGGAATCGTATCCCCCCTGGTCCCCCTGCCCGCACAGGTTGTCACCGTAGCTTGAAAGTGACATTTGTTCTGTGGAGGAAGGAGAAGGACCGCGCTGTTGTTCTAAAGTCTGGCGGCCAAAAGGACTCCAGCTGATGCTGCTTTGCCGAGAGGAGGGTGTTTCCTCTTCTGGGGATGCTGCTGGAAGCTCTCTAGTGCTGCTGTCCAGCTGGTGATGACACCAAGGAGCTGGGTCCTCGCGCTTGGCTGTGCTCCTCAATCCTCTCCTAGCAGGATGCAGTACAGGGGTGGGAGGGGAGCGCTCAGTGCTTAATCCAGTGGAGTTGATAACCCTGGGGGGTTGTGGGGGCTCTCACTTGGCCAGGTGCCTCCAGAGACCTGGAGTCCCCCTCGACCAGAGGTCAGGAGCAAGGACGAAGAGTTCTGGGAATTTTTCGGAGCGCCCCGTTTTGGTCAGCAGCCCTGAGCTCTGCTCAGCAGTTTGGGAACTCTTCCAGCCTGGATTAATTCCGTGCGCTCTGGCCTCGCTCCTCCGGTCGGTCCAAACCCGCAGCTGAGCGCGGCCGGCCTGCGCTGCGGGAAGGTGCGTGTCCCAGCGGAGCCTCCCGGCCTCGGCAGCCCCTGGGATAGACTGCAGCGGGGCAGAACGGGCGCCCCGGCGGGCAGCCTATGGGGTATGTGAGAGTCTCTGCTTTTGCAAGTAGGAAAATGATGTGGTTAAGAGCTGGGAGAGAAGGGAGGGAATTGGATCTTTTCCCTCACCTTGTCTCCCAGGTGCTTGTCTGCATGTGGGCTGCTAAGGAAGTTTTTTCCCTTCTGCCCGCATAGACAATTCCTCGTTAGCACCATGTGAATGAGCCGGAGCTGAGCGGGTATAAATCAGGGTGGATGCAAATTCCCTGTAGTCAATTTTGCCTTGGCCTCTTCAGTGCCATAAGGAAATGTTCATTTAATTATAGGCATCAGGGGTAGAAGTAACTCCATTAAGGCCCCAAGGGGAAGCTGCAGGCACCGAGCTGCAGATCAGAGCACGCAAAAGTTTATTTATTTATTTATTTTACTGTTATTAATTTTTTCCTCTCCGCATGGCGTGGGAAGCAGCTCCGGCATTTTGTGGGTAAATAAGCGAGCAGCAGCAACAAAGCCGGCCGTGCCGCAGGGCCGCGGCGAGCGCGGGACGGGGGGCGG